CTGGTGTTTCAATGAAAACTTGCGGTCACAATGATGTGCATAAGGAATGTTTTCAAAACTTTTGATTCGAGCCACCTAGCCTGACCACCCTGGGACCCATGTTTTCATAACCTGCTCTGCACAAACCAGAGCGGCTCTTGAGCCAAAACGGTGGCCGAACCGTGCCAATCCGAACTGAGTCATGTCCCCCACACATAGAGCGGTCCTTGTGCTCTCGTGTTCCACCCATCTGCTTCTCTCGCTCTAGCCCCTACCTCCTTACAGCCCAGTCACCAACCACGGGTGAGCACACCTCGCCTGGGCAGGACATCCACTGTGTGAGCTAGCAGCGGCGGCGGCGGTAAAAGGGTTACAATAACCCATCATCAACTTGGGATTATAACAACATTTCAGTGAAGCATATACTAGGGTTGTCGCCATCGAGTAAAAATCCGTTTTCAGAATAACTCTTTAATGTGTTCTTATGACATTGCATTTTGGTGATGATTGACATGTGAGGATTAATAGACTTATAAAATGAAATCTATTCTTATGGCCATAATGTATGCATAAACAACTGCATTTAAAAAAATATATTGTTTACAAAGTATGACAACTATATGCTATTGTTACATTTTGTCTAACATAGCTCAAACAAAACGAGCGAAACAGAAAAAACGAGACATGGAAAATATATTATCGTATGGAATGGCAACCGTAAGTTGTGGCTAATAAGTGAACTGCAGAGGAACGGGGTGGGATCGCCGCATGCCTTGTGGCTGAGTGAGGTCAGTTGCATCATGGCTAATGCTTGTCTTTGAGGTAGTGACCCGATGACACCAGGAGTGTTTCTCGGGTCAGCACGGTTGCCCAGGGCATTATCACCCTTTCATAAGTCTGGTCCTGGGCCAAGGCCCCGAGTAAGCTTATGACGACATAGGCACTACTTATAAAGTCGAAGGGACACATGGACCTTGGCAGTGAACTAAGCGTTGCCATGGTGTGGCACACATGAAAGGTGTCATGAAAACAGAGTATAGTTGGACAAGTAAAGGGAACTCCTGTGGAATGAAAATAAATAACAACAACCTTATCCTTCCACGATCTTGTTACACACCAGTAGTGGAAAAAGCCATGGTTCTAAGAACACAAAAGTAGTATAAAAACCAATCAATGTTTGTTGACGAACCACAGGCTCTGCAGATATTGCAACCGCTAGTCCTCCCTCTGCTTTAAAACCACAGCGATCAAGCATTTTCATTCGGGCAGGTGTTTTCGTTTTAACAAGTGCAGCACCAACCTCCGTGAAATAATATATTAGAGAGCATTGCACATGTATGTATCTGTAGCAAAAAGAGCAATCTGTATTACTATACTAAAAAAAACACCTCCCATGCACAGCATAACACACATCAAGTAACACAAGTATATATTCAAGCGTGGTAAGTAACCGCATCTTTGGCAGTTCCATGGCCAACACAATGCATGTCGAAAACGTTTCCACGATAGCATTTGAGATTATTTGTTTTAATTGTTGCACAATATTGGTCTCATCCTGCGAGTAAAGACTGACTGTACTTGCAATGCATACTTCACCTGGAGTCTAAAAGCAGAGCAATAGCCAGGTAAAAACAAAGTGAAAACAGATAAAATCACCTACTTTAATTTAATCTCACTACGCTCATCTCTATCCAGCGAGCTGCAATTTCTCTGCTCTGCAAGCAATTCACTGCAAAGTCTTAAGTGCTACATTTAGCACGACTGACCCAACAACCTCGGCTGACTGAGGATTTGCCCGTGCCGGGAGCATAGCACCCTGGAAAAGGAGTTAATCTCTCATCTATTTTGGTTTTCCACTATGGCAAGTCCACGCTTCCTGGCATCACACCACATCAATATGTAAAGTGCTAGCATCGCACAAGGAGTCAGGGAAAGCAAGACTCGTGAGAACAGGGCCTTTGGGAAACCGCGGTGTCAATTATCCCTTGAATGGCGACAGACATTAGGTGAGTGTGCCCTCTTGCTTGTGATAAATATTGATCATTTGAATAAATACCAATACAATTAGCAGGCATTTGCAAATGTGTTTAAATTGAGATTTTTTTTATCAAATAACTTGTAATTATCTTGAGTAGAAAGTGAAGAAATTCCAAGGTCTGCTCGGTGGAGGTCACTGTCACTGATTTCAGTGTGCACTCAGGTGCGTTCAAGTCAGCGAAGTTCAGGCCAACAGACCACTTGAGATTTTACACGTAGTTTTTAAAAGTCCAGGCAGTCCCCGAGATACAAACATCCGAATTACAAATATCCGCACTTATAAGATGTTATTATTTTTAACCATCCGACTTGCGATAATTTCGGTCGTACTTACAAACCGGACCGCGGAACTATTTTATTTTATTCTGCGGAGCAATCCTCCACGAGATGTAATTAGTCACAGTATCCTGTATGGTGTACAACGATACAGTATTTCTACAGTATCACATGCAAATGTACAATATTTCTTCATAATACTTCCATTTTTTGTTGAACCATAACACATTTTAAGACAGACCGTACATACAATTAAATATTGATTTCCGAGACGAACAAATCGACTTAGAAAGAGGTCTCAGCAACGTAAGTCGAGTAAGAGTTTACATCATAATTTGCTAAAAATTATTGTGTTGTTATTTATATATTCCTGATATTTAGGTAACATTTATAACTAAACAATGCAAGATGTATTGCTTTATAGTTGGCTAAAGGTCCCACTGGTCTATACACCGAGGCTCTCCAATGTTAAAAACCCTCCTTTCAAAAGCCAACAAGGGTAACATGCCCGGATGTTGCAGGCTTTACAGTGACAGCCAGCAATGTTAGAGCCCATTCATAGGACAGCACTTGGAAGGTGGCTGGCCGGAGAAAATGAATGCAACCCATTAATGCGAGTGTTGACAGTGCTCATCCATGCGAGACATTAAACTGTTGACCATCTAACAGCGCATAATGACTTGGCAGAATGGAAACGCCACGGGATGATCAATGAGTCTGTGTCATTACATAATCACATTACATGTGGGCCACAAACATGTAGGGCCCATTCGTCGATCAACTGTTGGATGAGGGCCTCCCCATACCGTGCAGGCCATGAGGATTATTAGACCATACTTCGCCACGCTGGTTAGCGCGGATCGGTGGAGGTGGGTGGTGTGTAGAACAATGGCATTTTCTGTACTGCCCTCGACTGCACACAGCACCTGCTACACCTGTTTTTGTGCCCGGTGGTCACCCATACAAGCACTCACCACGATCATTCCCGCTTAGCTTGCGAGCTCACATGGGTTTGGGCACATTCTGGATTATTTGGTAATAGGCAGCAACAAAAACATTTTGCATTTAATAATTGTTTGCTGTGAAAAGGTATCAGGGTTATTAAATTGTGACCACTGTCAGCCCTTCACATTTATTGAAGACTTGGTTCATCAAGGACTAAACACTGAGGCACCCCCCCCCCCCCCTGGTGAGACACTGCTTAACCAATACATACTTCACTTGGAATGGAACGTTCTACAAACAAACTGAGGGCACCCCAATGGGCTCCCCCCTATCTCCGGTTGTAGCCAACATTTTCATGGAGAAATTTGAGACTGATGCCATCCAGACTGCCACTCTGCGCCCAACCTTATGGAAGAGGTACGTGGATGACACTTTTGTCATCTGGCCACATGGCCGGCCTGCTCTAGACCAATTCCTCGACAACATCAATTCCATACACCCAGCCATCAGATTTACCATGGAAGTCGAAAAAGATGGCAAGCTACCTTTTTTGGATGTCCTAATAAAAAAGAGACCTGATGGTTTAATGAGCCACTCTGTCTACAGGAAAGCTACCCATACGGATGCTTACCTGAAACCGGATTCCCACCACCATCCATCCCAGAAGAATTCCCTCATCAAGACTCTGCACCATAGAGCCCAATACATATCCGACCAGGAACACATAGCCAGTGAACTCAAGCACGTACACCAAGCTCTTAAGGCTAATGGCTACTCCGACTCACAATCCGCAAAGCTATCACTCCAACCATGAAGAAGGACCCTCTTTAGGAGCCTTTCAAAACCATCACTTTACCCTACATTGCGGGGATCACAAAAAAGATCTCCAAAATCTTGAATAAACACAAGAGCCAGGTCCGATTCAACACATTACATAAAATCAGCGATCTGGTTCTGTCTGTAAAAGATGTGATTCCGGACATAGAGTACCCTGGTGTCTACAAACTAAGTTGCCTCTTTGGTAGTAGTTACATTGAAGAAACCAAAAAACATGTCTTGGACCGCATTCGTGAACACAAAGCAGACCTAAAACACGGTAGGACCAACACCTCGGCCATGGCAGATCACTGTTATAATTCAGTGGGCTCACTTGACATTGACTTCTCCAAGAAAAAGGTTCTTTGCAAGCCATCTGGCTACCATGAGAGATTCGTTCATGAGGCTATCCACATATACAAACACAGAGGCTATCCACATATACAAACACAGAGACAATTTCAACCGAGAAGATGGATTCTGGCTTAGCAATCATTGGAAGGATTTGATCAACCATGTCGGGTCTTAATTGATTGTTCACGCTTACGGTGCCTTTCAGACCGCATCTATTATTTTCGTCTCCCCCCTCCTCTTTTCCGAACATAGATGGACTCGTCCATCTGAATAACTGCCAAGTCGCTCTCCGTGGTGCTAACATTAAAAAAACGCCACTTTTTTCAAATTTTCTTGCTGTGGTTTTCACACCTGATGATGATTGCTTGTGTTGCAGTCGAAACGTCGTGATAATTTTATTGTTTTATATTTTTTATTATTTCCCTTCTACGTGACTTTACCGAAAGAACCAAGAATATGAATCCCTGCAGTCACGAAAGCTTTAAATCAAAATTTAGTGTAGTTTATAGTTTAGAAAAGTTTAACTGAACAAAGCACAACAACAAGGGCATGCTCGCCGCAGATGAATCTCGACACGCGCGTACGCTGCTCACCTTGAGCCATGACCTCAAACTCGAGGAAGAGCGCGATGCCATACAGCTCCATGGCCTCCTCGACGCGAGACGGCAGGCAGGCTGAGGCGTGCAACTCGCCAAGCGCGCCGACAGACACCGGGCTGCCGCAGGCAGGCGAGGAGGGCGGCGCCACCAGCGCCAGGTCCAGGCAGTCGGTGTACATGCAGTGCAGCACCGCGGGGCCGTAGCGGCGTGGCAGCACGGCCTCGTCCAGCAGGATGCGCGTGGGAGCCTGCAGGGCGCGCTCTGTCAGCTCCTCGCCGGAGCGCGCTCGCCGCTGGAAGAGGCGGCGGAAGAAGGGCGAGCGGGCCGACAGAATGGCTTTGTGGCAGCGCAGGTCGCCGGGCATGGGCTCCGTGTAGCCTCCGCACACCTCCGTGTACTGCGCAGACACACGGCCGTGGCGTGCATGCAGGGACACGATTGGTTTTGAGATCCTTGAAGAAAAGCGCTTTAGAAATATTATTAATTGTTGTCCTGTGTTTAGTTTGTTGTCCTTCCCCCGCACCTCCCATTAGCACGGTTGGCGACCTACAGTGCGAAAGAAATTCAACATACATACATGCAAGAGCGAGCGTGCACGAGAAAGGAGAGAAGAGTTATTGTGCAGACAGAACAACCACAAGGTTACACAACTCTGAGAAATCACGTGTGCTTAAATTTATTTAAACCAATTCAAAGGCAATGCAAATGAAATATATATTTACTCTAAAAAAACGAAGACAATTGCTGTGCTGTGTTATTGCACTTTCGTAGTAAACAATGTTAGTTATTTACCCACAAAATAATCGTTAAATCTCAAGGCCCTGTATTTAGTGAACTGTTGAGAGTTTGGTGTGTGGGAGGAAAGCGGAACAGAAACCCCACACAGAGTAAGGGGTGATAACCAACACTGAAGCCTTGTGGCATCATGCCTACAATAGCATCATGCCTACAATACTTGGCGAGCTATGGTAGTCACCCATCGAAACATTAACCAGGCCCTGCTAAGCTTTAGAGATAAAATAGGAGCAGACAAATTCATGGTAATTTGGACACAGGAAAAATGTCAAAGAGACAGTTGCATCACCTGTTTCCCAATGAGATATTATCTTCATTACCAGAGTACGCACAACCCAAGGGGGTTTTCCTTTTTATAACATCCCACTCTTATTTATAGCGTTACGAGGGTACACTGGTCGAGTTATAGACCCTGGGGCAACCAGCAGAAATATTATAAGAAACAAAAACTACTTGGGGAAAAAAGAGCACAGGAATACTCCCTGCAACGCGAATGAAAACGAATCAGCTTGCGCTACCGTGTAATCCATGTCAGACGAGAAGCACAGCACGGCATCGTAGTAGCAGCCGCTGTCAAGGAGCGCCAGCAGATCGACAGCCAGCGCGTTGGGCGTGCCAAACTCCTCGCCAAGGCGGGCCAATGTGCTGCCATCGTGCGCCAGCAATCCCTGCTTGCCCGCGTAGCCACTGCCGCCAGCTGCCGAAGCAAAAGAATCGTCAGCAGTGACAAATCCATTGCTGGATGAAGGCAACGCAGAGCCGTCGCCACCTCTCACGGTTCTATCGCTGTGTAATACAGTTCTACCGAGCACCTGAACACGACTTGAAGCATATATGTTATCCAGAAAAGGTGGCCTTTGCTGTGAACGTTTTCCAATTGTGTGTTATATTATTTTCATGACGTATTGAGAAAGGGCAGGGCATAATGTCTTCTGGGGAACGGCATTGTTTTGTTTTTGTAAGATCTTGATATTTTGCATTGACCAATAACTGCATGTTCATTTATTCAATAATCGTGACATTTTAGAACGGAGCCTTCAGCGAACCAAACCTCCAAATATTTAACTAAATAGGACTTACAATTTCTTAACATGAGAGCCCTTTAAGATATAATAAGTCCTTTGGAAGGAAGATCAGGGGAACTGAGGAAGCTCCGATTTGTTTTAAGCGATTCAAAGATCTGCACCCAGAGCAAAAAGTAATACTTTAGAAATTTGATCAATGTTACGCAACATGTTTTCAACAATAATAAGCAACTGTAATTCATTAACAATACTTAAGTTTGTTACAAAAGGTGAACAAAAAAATATTAATATATTTTTCCACTACATCTTATACAGCGTTTAGAAGTTTGTATTGTTAGAAGTGTTATATTAGCATTTTCTATTTTATTTTTGCGTATTGAGGCAATGCGCAAGACAACAAAAACTAATTTATTTAAAACGGCACAGTGCACAGAGGCGGGAGGGACTTCCATTATGCTGCGACCCATTACAGCATCCCCTACTTCGAGCGTGAAATGCCCACAATCCGCGCGCTCACCATTAGGGTCGCCGCCATCGCTCTCAGACTCCAATTCGCCCGTGTACAGGAAGCGCAGCAGCGCGGAGAAGGCGTGCAGGTCTACGCCGGCCGCCCCCAGGGTCAGCGTGAGTTCCGCGCCATAACCCAGCGTGCCGACCCCGCCAGCGCCGGCCGGCCCTCCTACCGCAGAGCCCGGCAGGGCCAACCGATTGCGGAAGTACGGACAGCGTGCTACCAGTATGGCCCGGTGCACCGGGAAGCAGGTGTCCTAGGATAAAGAAGGGTATTAGATTAATTACAAAAGGTTCTCCAAAAAAACACATCGTAATGGCTTACATTGTTTACCACAAAGAGGAACCGGAACAGTGGAGCATATGGTCAACTGCTGCCCGCCTATCATGATCAATAAACAGTGGCGTAAAAGGATTTTTATCAATTTACAAGAGGCCGCTAAATTGCTATAGAACCTAAACCAATTTCTAACATGCTGCCATTCCAAAAATCAGTTGTTTATCTCGGCAACTTGCCATGTGAACGAAGACTGTTAAGTGAACAAATAAAGCATGCTTGATTGTTCATTTATCCACTGCATTCGCTGCACCCAAACAAAGAAGCGTAATTATATCGGTTCTGAACCCTAAACAAATTGGTAGTTCATAGCAGACTTCACGACTAGAATGCTTAAGTAGAGCGTGAGAGGTTTTATAAACAGACATAACGATAGGAAAGATAACGGACTTGACAATAATTGCATGTAAAAATGATTATTTTCCTTCCTTCTTGAGTAAGATTCCAAAGGACATCTCAAATGTGAGATCCAAGTTCGTGCCAGTTGGAGTTATTTTACAACAAGAAAATCTTAAGTAACAACATGACACACCATGCATACAAAGATGCATGAATGAATAACTGAACCATATTCAAAACACAAGCCAAATCATAACTACCGCATTCGTGCCAACCCGAGGCCGCATCCAACCGTTGCCCATTGTTATTCAACACATGGTAATAAGGATGCAATGTCAATGTATTACAAATAATTATAATTTCTAGCACTTTGACAATCCACTGGCAGATGAAGGCTTCCCCAAGTTGAAACATTGGACCACACTTCAGCCTGCTGACCACTTATGATAGATGTGGCCAGGAATCGAACTCGTCAACCAGGTCCATGGCGCAATGTACAAACCAGGTTCATGGCGCAATGTACGAGCCAGGTTCAAAGTATAGTGGACGAACGAGATTCATATCAGTGCACAAATCAGGTTCATAGCACAGTATACGAACCAGGTTCATAGCACAGTGTACAAACCGGGTTCATAGCATAGTGTATGAACCAGGTTCATAGCACAGTGTACAAACCGGGTTCATAGCATAGTGTACGAACCAGGTTCATAGCACAGTGTATGAACCAAGTTCACAGCATAGTGTATGAACCAGGTTCATAGCAGTGTACTAACCAGGTTCATAGCACAGTGTACGAACCAGGTTCATAGCAGTGTACTAACCAGGTTCATAGCACAGTGTATGAACCAAGTTCACAGCAGTGTACAAATCAGGTTCATAGCACAGTGCACTAACCATCACTTCTCCCCCGTCAACGTACGATGCAAATTATAGATATCAGGTTTAAAGATATGGCAACAACCTGTCGCTTTTTATGACCACTACTTTGTTGGATTAATGTGTCACCTAATCTGGATATGCTGCTGTGTTACATGTGCACACTACATAACCTGTATAAGCAGTTAAGCTACAGAAACAAACCATTTTATAGCTTGAAACTTAAGTTTCAGGAGAAAATTTCAGGGCATTGTGTGGGTACTCTCAGTATTTCAGCAAGCAATGAAGAAAACTGTGTTTTACAAATATTCTTGGTTCTTTCGGTAAATTCACGTAGAAGGGAAACAATAAAATAATAAAAATATAAAACAATAAAATTATCACGACGTTTCGACTGCAACACAAGCAATCATCATCAGGTGTGAAAACCAGAGCAAGAGAATTTGAAAAAGTGGCGGTTTTTTTAACGTTAGCACCACAGAGAGCGATTTGGCAGTTTATTCAGATGTACGAGTCCATCTATGTTCGGAAAAGAGGAGGGGGGAGACGAAAATAATGGATGCGGTCTGAAAGCCACCGTAAGCGTGAACAATCAATTCAGACCAAAAATGGTTTATCAAATCCTTCCAATGATTGCTAAACCAGAATCCATCTTCTCGGTTGAAATTGTCTCTGTTTGTATATGTGGATAGCCTCATGAACGAATCTCTCATGGTAGCCAGATGGCTTGCAAAGCACCTCTGTCTTGGAGAAGTCAATGTCATGTGAGCCTACTGAATTATAACAGTGATCTGCCAAGTTTCCAAGTTTATTCTCAATTGTATGTATGCTGAACTTCTTTCGCACCGTACGTAGCCAACCATGCTTATCAGAGATATGGGGGAAGGACAACAAACCAAACACAAAAAGCAGTTCTAAAGAAATGAGTTTTCAATCTAGATTTAACAGGTCCCTGCAGGGTGGGCTGGTAGGAACATTGGAATTTTGCGCAATTTTATGACATTGTTATTACGTAAAATTGTGCAAATTGAGAGCGTCTTCCCACCTTTTTGCCCTCAAAATCGTTGAGGGTTCTTCGGACAAATTATACACCCAACAGCACGAGATTTCACTTCGTTAAAGTATTGAAAAGGGGACGGACGGACGGACACATTAATCTATTGCAGGCTGGTCCACTCGCTTTACAACTTCGTTCCTACCAGTAAAAGTGCATAGCTCCAGTGTCTTCCTAACATCGGAAGGAAGAGCATTCCAGACAGCCGGACAAACGCATCCTAAAGCACGTGATGCAGTGACCATGTTTCTTCAATGGATCACCAAAAGCCACTGCCGCGAGGATGGCTGTAGTTCGCATGATGGTTTATGCTCCAGTGTAGATAATTGGAGAAAAGTACAGCACGATACACAGTCCATCAGCAGGCCCCATGTGGTGTGTGGCTCGTACAGAAGAGTAGGCCAAATACCCTCCAAACGGGCTCGCTAGAGCTACCTCCCCTGCCAGTGCACTCACAGGACTGCCTGTGTCACTCCCTTGTGACACCCGCAAAACTTGGGTGTCTGTCCAAGAGGGTGGTGTTATTACGGTGCAGCTAAATGTAAAGGGGCTCATGCCGCTGAAGGGTCTCCACTCAAGGGGGCTCTCTAGAGGGAGCCTTTCTGCCAGCAGTGGCACGAGCAGGCAATTGTAGGGCTGCTCCGGAGGTGTGGGAATTTCTTTGAATTGTGCTATCGTTATTACGTCATGATAAAAAAAAAAACTAATAATTCCAAACTCTCACAGCTAGAGATGCTTCGTTCCTCAAAAGGCGCAAAATTATGACATCGCAGAATGTTCCAGTTCCTTCGATTGGCCTCTTTAATCACCTCACGGAACATCTTTGATGAAAAAAATAAGAATAGGTTTTACCCTTTCTGGCAATAAAACAGGTGTTAAGATGTTCAAACACCAAATAGAAATCTTTTTCAAGAAATCATGTCTGCATTAACATGCGTGTGGTAAACATGCATAAAAAATATGCTCCGATAATATATGTATTGTCTTTGAAACTGATTGGTCTACACCAGAGACAGCCTTCTTTAGGGCCTAGTCTCACAAGAGAATGCCAAAAAGCGAACAGATGAGGTAAAACCTATACTCATTTTTTTATACTTTGATACTGGCAAAAAAGGTCACATGTTGGAACATATTTTATATGCCCAGCCAAGACTGTGCATTGCATGTCAATCAAAAAAGCATTTAACTTCACAAAATGGGAATCTGAATTTTGTAAAAAAATATATCACATCTCATATCGTACGGTATATCATAGTATCACAATATCATGGCTAACCTACCAGTGTGTAAACTGTAGTCAGGTTAGAGTTTAAAGCGGCAGTTAAAAATGTAATCTCGACAGGATGTATTATATCATTTACTCAATGGGTAAATATCAAGTCCCTTAATTTATGAAACTCATTGCAGTGTTTAGATAAGACACAATGGCTGATATACTCCATTTACCCAAAACGACAGACGCACAACGCAGTACAGTAACCGGGGCGATTGTCCGAGTACCTGTGCACGCCATGGCTCGTCAGTGCGGGTTATTTCTGGACAGTACAGTAAACGAATGCTGCACGAGTACTAATGCTTAAAATGGCAACAACGGGTTTTAAGCCAATGATCCCCTCCCCAAAAAAAGGCATCGGCTTGCATTGCCAAAGCCGAATTCCACAATCCAGGTGGACACCTCACCGGTCTCGGGTGCTTTTGCGGAATTACCTGAAAGATGAGGTCCATGTCGGTGCAGTACTTGTACTCGTAGAGGCAAGACAGGTGGTGACGGAGGCCATGGGCAGTGGGTCGTGCCAGACTCGCCTGCTGCGCAACCTCCTTCAATGCAGCCGCTGCTTCGTACTCCTCCACCAACGCACTCACCTGAACCCACGCGACACAACACCAACGCCAGCATGAGAACGCTATCAACAGCAGCAGCGACAGTAGTATTGTACAATGAGACTAACGAAATAACATTAATAATGGAAAGGGCAGGATCAAGCGAGTGTAATGACGACGTGTATTCGGAATAAGCAGTTGCAAGGTGTTTTTACCAAGTTTCTGCCAGTGGATGAAGAGATAATTTTATTACGATGAGGTTGAAGCATTGTGATTAACAAGGATTAAAACCTATTCACCATGCCAGGTGGAGCAGTGATAGTGATTAGCATGCTGGGCTATCAACCTGATGACCTGAGTTCAATTCCAGATCATCCACACTGATCAGCGTGTTGAATGATGTTCAAAAACCCCAATGACCGACAAGGCTTGGCAAAGCCTTCACCCATTGGCGTTTTCACTATTGGTGGAAATGTAATTATTTTATTACGTACCAATGGAGGTTGTCATTAATAGTGTAAAACAGGTTTCATGACAGTATCTACCCACACAATACTCAAGCAGGACGTTCTCCTGGTATTCAGAAACTTCACCAAACGTTCTGAGTTTAATGGCTGAGGGAGATGTTGAAGGGCAGCAAAGAGGGCAAGATACAACTGTAATAGAACTTGACTGCTTGAGTTGTCTGGCCTTCTCATCGTGACTTAAGCACAATGTTACGCTCCTATAATGGCCACCTTAAGCCTTTAAAAGACGACAATGGACTTGGCTGGAGAGGCTTTTTTTGAAGCCAGCCCTTCAGGCTTTGCATCAACTCTTAATGCCTTTACCTGGGCACAGACCTATGCAAATGAAGGTGCCCTTTCCAGAACTGTCAGAATGATTCCACCGTTTCAGATTTCTTATAGGACAATGGCAAGAGGCACCTGACATTGTCACGGTGCAAATGACAAGACTGAAAAACCCAACCAACTTCTAATATCATTACCTAGATATAAAAAATATATATATACTACTTAAAAATGTGTGTATGTAAATATCAAGGGAAATGGAAGGTAAGAGCAGGAAAACAGATAAGTTGGTACAACAATATGAGCAGGTGAATGGGACCATTCACGAGAGACAACGAAGACCGCGAGACCTGGAGACCGTCTCTCATGGGCACATCAAGCCTGTATAATGACGATGCCACTCAACAGATTATAAAACATGTCAAAGCTGCACAAAAACATTAAAGGACGACAAACACTGGCCTCGGGCAGAGCCCAGCCGGACAGCAGTTCTCGCATCTGCTTGGCATGGTGGGCCGAGCGCCCCGCGCGACGTCGCCGGCTCAGCTTCTGCTTCAGCGTGGCCAAGCTGGGCGCCGCAGCCTTGCGCTTGCGCTCGCTGCGCTGGCGCTCGTGGGAGCCTGGGCGCGACAGCGCGGCCGACGTGGCGGCCCCGAAACCCCCGCTGCTGCCGCCACCCATCGCGTGCCCCACACTTCCCGGTACTCCACCGCCGCCGCCTCCACTGCTCCCCCCGCCGAGCCCAACTCCGGCACGTTTGCTGTCCAGGCTGAAGCCTTGGTGTTGTGCCAGCACAGAAATACCTGCACAAAATGCAGGAACACCGTTGTAAACTTGATTTCATACCTTTAACTTCAGAATCAAATATACCGCAGCACTGAATGTGATTTGTAACTTCGGCATAATAGATCTAGGCTACAACATATTCACAAAGTAGCACCAGCAAAAGTTACGTTAAAGGTACATGAATTATCATTTTCAGAATTAATTATAAGCAATGAACAGGGAGGACAAGAAATATTTAATCCATAACTTAAGAGCAATGGCCAAACATTACCAATTGGGACATGAAATGCAAACTATGAAAATTAAATCCACATTGAAGCAAAATAAACAAATGTTGGAACATATGGTTTAACTGCCCACATAAATGAAGTTGTGAAAAGGCTATAATTTCAGCAATTATTTTTACCAAAAACACCTTACGGAGCACCAAGACTTTTTCAGGAGGGTCAGGCATTAGGAAGTTTGGCCCATTACATTTTAAGTACTTTGCATGTGGGAAGAAACTCAAGTATGCATGGAAAACCGAAACAATGGAATAACAGAAAAAGGTCCACATGGATATTTATTTTTACTTTCATATCAACTGTGCTATGTCATCATGTCACGGACCAAGTATAAATTCAAACTCTTACAGGGGAGTGCATCACCCTGTGTGATATAACATACCATGAATGAGAACACAGAACTTTGTTTATAAGATTGCTTTAAGGAACTTAGAGGGCGCAATTACTATATGCCCTGCTATAGAGACATCTTCTTTACCAAGCAGTCACGTCGATAGTCAACTCTCAGACTATAAATGTAGCCAAATGACGTGAAAACCCAGATATAATTTTATGTTTTTTAAACATCCTTGGTAACTGGGCTGTGACGATCAAATCCCTATGCATGAGAACCCAGTTTGATCATGGGTTCGAGCCCAACATCTCAGTATTCCTGGTTCAGTGCTGACCCCTGACCCAACCGGCCTGCACAACAAGTTGTTTAAAGGGTCTCTCCCTTATTACGATTCAGGGTCGTGATAGAATTTTGAAATAGATTTTAACATATTTTTCCCATGTCGTGTTACATTCTTATTTCTTCTACACTGCTTGTCCCATCTTATTCAATCCCCAACGTTAATCTAACATCAGCAAAAAAATTGCGAATAACACACATAAATCACAAACTAGTCAATTATTCATACAAGTGCACAGTGAGTGAAATAATCTATTTGAATATATGAACCAATTATTTGCCTGGTGAATACATTACACGCTGGCAACAGCACCGCGGCCAGGTGGGTGCGGTGTTGTCGCAAGCTGACAACGGCACCTGCATTGGACGGATGGTGCAGAGCGTTGATGCGGCCGCGCTGCGGGAAGGAGTGGTGTACGTGGGATGGACTGGCCCCCATGCTCGCTAGAGCCAGCAGCAAAGCATGCTCGCGTATTCAGGTGCCAAACTACCACTCGTTCGCTCGCAGGCAAACGGTATCGGACCACGGCTGTGATTTAATGATGTGCCTGCAGAAAATCACAAACAACAAACGTCCAATAAGTCATATTTAGTTGCATATCCTATGACCTCAACCAAACAATCCCAGATTAGTTTGAAATCTGGTTGAGTAAACTGGCTGAACAAAGTGTTCTGAACAGTATCAATTATAATATAAACACATTTACAATAAAGTACTGTGAATAAATATGGAAATAGATAAGGATGTAAAAATGTACGTATAATAATCATCAGCTCTTTGTCAATACACCTCAAGCCATGATGGTCATTGGGGTTTTTGACCATGTCATCACATCCATGAGTTCAGGTTCAAGGGAGTACAGGGGGATCTAGGACCAGTTCAGAGATCACTCAACTGATGTAAGCCGTGACCAGGAATCAAAATCATGTGCGCAAGTTTGTAGTGCAATGTGTTACCGTAAAATAGTGCGCCACAACCTCACCCACACTGTGTGTATATAGATAACATTCCATTCGCAGTAAATGTACCAACAACATTTATTGCAAGTACCATTTACTACTTTAAGATACAAAAATACCTTTGTAAAAATGAAAATGTTTAATATGAGCAGAGGATCTTTTTAAGCTGACAACTAATCTCCAGCAGATAAAATTTGGTTTAGCACTTATACCAATTATATTTTATCAGCCCATGCAGGCTTTTCCATATTGCCTGACAAGCAAGATTGGTGGGCCAGGAATTGCACATTTCTACCGAATTTCCATGAATAACGGACCTGAACTACACTCGAATTGCATTCACTATATTTTATTTTAACATTTGAAATAATAGTACTTGGAAATTGTTGTTTAAAATGCTGGTGTGTGGCCAAAGAAAACAAATCTCAACTAGGAAAGTAGCCTATGAGCAGTTCAAGATCTATCCCTGAACACGTTTATGTGCGGTATAAAGCAGCGGAGACAGTCCCTTTAAACTCAATTTCCCACTATAGTGTGGGCACAGGAATGAGAATGCATGGCTCTATTCCAGCTGGTTATGCATTAGGTATTTTATTGGCCAAGATACCCATGAAAGCATAAACACCACCCAAACAAAACACCCACACTGGCTACTTCCTTTAATTGTCCTCTGATGTAATCTCCATGGATACTCAGAACCTCCCCACCTTGACGTCTACAATTTCCTTCTCTTTATAAAAACAAAGCAATTATAATTTATAGCCCTTTTTTTCAATTCACCGATGTGTAAGGGCCTCCCCACACTTGTCGGTCATAAGAGTTAACCCATACTTGACCAAGTTGTTCAGATACCACTCACCACTCATGTTAGCCATGACCAGGAATCAAACTAGGCAGGTCAAGTTGATAACACAGTGCACTTATCATAGCTCCAGCAGTCAACCTTTTTATTCATCCATCAGAAGTCAATTAAATGAGTAGCAGTTTGTGAAAAGTGACCATTGGTTTTCTTGGGGGGAAACTGGCCCCTGCCACAGGAAAGTGGAGCTTATATTACTAGCTCCGGGATTCCCATGCAGATGAGCGCCACTCCATTGAGCAGGGGAGAGTGATTTCTTAACTTTTTCATATATAATTGTATTGAGAAAGAAAATAAGGCCAATTTTAGTGGAGTGGTATTAAACGTTCTCCTTATTTTCAATTGTGTTCATGCAACAGTGGATAGACAAAAGGGCAGTACATATATATGTCGAGAATTTCCATTTCCTTTACAACAATGAGCCTAATCACGTGTTGGAAATATTTTGTCAATATTTGGCAAACCTCTATTACCCACTCATTCTGTTTTTTTAATGCCAAAAAGGACTGAATTTGGCCTGCTGTCAACACGAAATGAGCACATTGTAAATTGGGTCTAGAGTATGGATTTAAATGCTGTACATAGAGCACCACAGGTGCACATAAGTAGCGTTGGATGCTTCAAGAACTGAACATGTGACCACTGGTGGACAAATCTTGTTGGTTCTATTATTTAACGGGCGCTTACAGTGAATATCCCTCATGGGGCCTTAGACTCCGTAAAAGATTGAAGGATAAGTCCTACAACCACGTTGTCTCCTCACTCCAACACTGGGGAGGAGCTTGGCAGCTGTAATCCAGTGATGTAAATTCCACACTGCTATGGCTAGGGGCCAATGTATCCATAGGGTGCCCACATGACTTCCCACATTGTTGGTACTTGTTTTATTGTCCCAGGGCTGAGCCAGCCCTCAAACGAATTTGAATGTTCAACCCTTTGATTGTGAGCTAAGTGGTGCAAGGTACCATACCACGGCAGATATTCTACATTTCAAGACAAGGCAGAATGCTGCACTGCGGCGGCATGGCATGATTATTCATTACCACCATCAGCCATGGTCAACCAATTCTGGACCAAGGCTTCCCCCCCCCCCAAGCCACTTCCATCTCTCCCAATTTCTCATGAGTTACCCACTTTATGTCAATTGTTGTGGATCTTGCGATAACAGCGAGAATCTAGGAACCATTTATTTCCAAAAATAATAGGATTTTTTTTGACAAGCGGATGATAGAGCATGTAAACAGGCTTGAAACTCCTCTCATCCAGTCTTTTTAACGTCCGAGTAGTCAGGCAAATCCTCAAATATTCCCATTACACTGTGTAATATATTTTTTTGTTGCTGGGTAGTAAGTGTTATTTCCTAATTGCTTATGCCTCAAAAGTACAGAAAATGTCTATTATTCCCCACAAACATTAATATTTTGAAATTTATTTTCCAGAACATTCCAGATAGATTCAGTGCTGAGTAGACTTGGAGTAACTTCTAGAACATTCGATAACTTTCCAGTATTATAAATAGTATTATAAATGCAGGGGCCTTAAGCCCACCAGTTCAGTTGAGTTCCAGCTGCCTAAGTGGATACATATCTGCATTTTTCTGAGATGGCATCAAGAGGCTGCAAGCATCCGGCAGAAGCATTTTGCTGTCTGCGGCCAATTTATCAAGACAAGAGCGAAAAAGTACTCTGTGGAAGCATCTGCTAAGATGTGTGAGGTCTACAACAAGGCATATTTTGGCATGCCTGTCGGGGATCAAGACAAACCCTAGGCACCTCATTTCACCTGCGAGCAATGCAAAAACACTCTGGAAGGCAAGTTGTACAATTGTTGCTCGGAATTTTATGTTATGAAATTTGTTCAAAAATTTTAAATTGTAAAAGTTTCTTATTTTACATTTTTACCATTTTCAATGTTATTGAAAAATATATATATAAATGAAAAATGTTGCAAGAATCTCTTACACATTAGTCATGGGTGAAATAAATGTATTTTTGTAAGATGGTACAGAGGGGAAAGGAGAGCCATGAAGTTCGCTATCCCAAGAATTTGGCAAAAACCCACTGACCACTCAAGCAAGTGCTACTTCTGCATGGTGGACCCTTCCAAACGTCGGACTGGCAAGAATGCACCTGCTATCACGTATCTGGACCTTCCTTCATCCATCGCCCCGGTGCCACACTGCCATGAGCTCCCCGTACCCACTCCTCCAGAGAGAGAGCAGCCGTCTTTAGAAGAGAGCAGCAAGTCAGAGAGCGAGAAAGACGTTGTAGATCCAGATGACAATTTCAGAGATGGAGAGAAACCCATACTAACCCAACCAAAAAGACCTCAACGGCTTGATTAGAAATCCTGGTCTCACCAAGTCCAACGCCGAGCTTTTGACGTCTAGGCTCAAGCAGTGGAACTTGTTGGATGAAAGTGTGCAAGTCGTAAATCAGAGGAAGCGTCACCAACCTTTTTGCAGCTTCTTCACCCGTCAAGATGGGCTCTGCTTCTGCCACAATGTGACCAGTCTGTTCGAGGCAATCAGAATCGCCTGGAACCAGAATGAATGGCGCCTCTTCATTGACAGCTCATCCCGGAGCCTCAAAACCGTGCTCCTCCATAATGGTAACAAGTACTCGTCTCTTCCCTTGACTCACTCGGTGCACCTCAAAGAGGATTACAACAGCATCAAGACCTTGCTGGATGCCTTGAAGTATGGTGAGTACGGCTGGGAGGTCATCGGAGACTTCAAAATGGTGGCATTCCTGATGGGTCTCCAAGGCGGTTTCACCAAGTTTCCCTGCTATCTTTGCCTTTGGGACAGCATGGACACCAAGGCGCACTACCACAGGCGGGACTGGCCACAGCGGACCGAGTTCACTGTGGGGAGGAACAATGTCCAGTGGGAGCCACTGGTGGAACCCCGGAAGGTGCTGATGCCACCACTGCCCATCAAATTGGGCCTTATTAAACAATGTCAGAGCTGCAGATAAGGAGTCGGCAGCCTTCAAGTACCTTCAAGACATCTTCCATAATGTCTGAGGCAAAGGTCAAAGCCGGTGTCTTCGTCGGACCACAGATAAAGAAGATCCTAGAGTGCAATGAATTCCCCAAGAAGCTCACTAGTAAGAAGAAAGCGGCATGGAACAGCTTTGTCGCAGTGGTTCGTGGCTTCCTGGGCAATCGCAAGGTCGAAAACTATGTGGAGCTGGTTGAGACTCTGGTGAAGAACTACGGCACAATGGGCTGTAGGATGTCCCTCAAAGTCCATATCCTTGATGCTCATCTTGATAAATGCAAGGAGAACATGGGAGCACTTGGAGGAGCAAGGCGAGCGCTTCCACCAGGATATACTGGACTTTGAACGCCGCTACCAAGGACAGTATAACAAGAACATGATGGAAGACTACATTTGGGGGCTGATTCGTGAAAGTGATTTACAGTAGAATCGTAAATTACGAAAAACTACTCACTTCTAAATCTTTTCAAGTAATTTTTGGATTACTTTAGTATAAATTCATGTTAATTTTGATTCATATGTTGTTGTTTTCTAACTATGTGAACAAAAAGACAAATTCGCCTGTTTTTTTCAATGAAAATGGTAAATTTCAAAATATAACTGTCCTGGTCACAAAAGCAAAGTTTGTGGGGAATAATAGCCATTTTCTATACTTTTTAGCAATAAGCAATTACAAAATAACACTTACTCCCCAGGAACAAAAATTGTGTTACATTGTGTTATCT